GTTAGTAAGTGAATGTTTGGTCTGACAGGAAGTAGAAGGAACATGTTTGCACTGAGTTGGCGTTTTATGGTCCGGTTCATAAATAACATGAGTCTGCAGACAAGAGGCTCTAATTATAACAAAGCATGTTTTTTTTTTTTCCAAAGCTGCAGTAATAAATTCACCTGTGCTTCTAAATCTGGGTTGTTGGTGGCAGGAAGTGTGCCGGGTGATTTAAGACCTGGAACAGGCGTGTATTTCTGCAGGTTTGTTACTAAAATCTACAGGAGGATCAAGTCGAGCCTGTAAACCTGCAGGGGCTGTAAACTCTGAAGTAAAACTATTAAACTGAGTCAGGACAGAGCTGTTTATTAAAATACTGTGGAGTGAACATGGAACAAGTGTTGGAGGCGGGGGGAAAGGCACCAGAATATAAAAAGTTGTCGGTCTTCAAGCTTTACTCTTTCACAATCGTGGGAGTGATCATCTTCTTGAAGGAGTAGTACTTGCATTCAGCGGGCGGTTCAATGTCCATGGTGGTGGTGCTAATCTTCTCCTTCTTGAAACCAGCTTGGAGCAGATGAGGCACCTGGGTTTCCTGAAAATCATTAACAGGGAGAGCGGGTCAGCGTGAGGCGGCTCACGGTCGGATCCTGTTTGTCAGCGACCTTGAAATTGAAGCAGCGTGATCTGCGACACCTCCTGTTCACTCTATCAGATAAAAAGTACTTTTTCATACATCCTAAATATAAAAAAATAAAATAAAATAAACTATTTACCGCGTAGTTAAAATGTCCAGGAAATCTGCAAAACAACTTCTAAATCTAAAATTGCAACGTATGTCCAAAGTCCAAAGGGTTTTTATCAGTATATAATTCGTTTATAACCCAAAATGTGACCCGTTGACGTACGCTTTAAGACACTTTTCACTGTATGGAAACATAAAGGTGGACAAACCTCGAACATTTTCTCAATGTTGTCATATTTGCTCTTGAGCAGCTCGCCCCAGGAGGTCAGGTTGCAGAAGGTGAGAACACCGCCGGGTTTCAGCAGTCTGTGAGCGTGACCCTGCAGGAAAAAACACACAAGTTGAAACAGTTATTCAAATTTAAAAATTCAAAAATCATATAAAATGGTTTGGCATCTATGTGTCACGAAAGAATTAGTCTGACTCGTTGATTTCATTTAAATATAGGGTCTGATTTTCATGTTTTTAAGTCAAAATATTTGGTAACGATCAGCTCATCTTGTGCATAATAGTTTAATTTAAATACTTACCTTAATGAAGTCAAACTGGTGAGTGTGCCACGACTCCTCTGAGAGAGGGTATGTGTCGTACAAGATACCTGATAGAAGACACAGTCTTTAATAAGACGGTTCCATTTGCACCTTCGGTTTGGCAATAATGGTTGATTCTGCTGTCATGCTGCTTCGCTCACGTTCGGTTTTGTTTCTTACCATCGAAATGGTTGTCTGGCAGGGTGGGAACGACGTTCTCCCAGAGACCCTTCAGAGGGACAACCTGCAGGGACAACGCTCGTCAACAAAAATGGTAAATGTTGGGCCGGTTTCAAAAAGACGCATCAGGCCCACCTTGTGTGGCTGAGCCTTGGCCCAGTTCTCCAGTCGGGCGAAGACGCCATCGTTGCACTCGATGATCCAGTGCTCCTCGATGGGGAAAGACTCCACCTTGGTGGCGGCGATGGCCATGCCGAAACCAATCTCCAGAACCCGACCGCCTAGCAAACAAACACGACCAAGCAGGAAAATTTTGCTAAATAATAATAAAAAAATATCAAATGGAGTTACAACCAAAAAATATGTAAAGACATTTCCAAAAACCATAATAATTTTTGATTGTATTGGTTAATTAATTAATTCCTTCTTATTGATTAGATAAAGGTTTAACTTGCAACCAGTTTCAAAAATCAACCCCCTTAATCGCTATCAAAAATGTGCAATAACCATGTATTATCGTGTAAAACATTCCCAACAAATCTACATCCGAGGTTTAGAAAACAAACCATTCACTCAGACTTTATCAATACATGTAAAATGCTTGATTTTTCTACTTTGTACAGATTTTTAAATGMATTTCTGTGTGAAAGTTATGTCCTCTGCAGATTTCTTGGCCTTTTTCCAACAACAGCTGTTGTGTTTCCCACATACACGTGTGTTACCATGAAATGAAGAGGAAAAACACTTTTTAAGCTTAAGCATGCTACAGCAAATTGTGTAAAAGTAACAACAAAAAAAACAAGTACCAATAGAGGTACATAGGCCGAGTTGCACAGCTGCTACAGTCCAATATCGGACAGGCCACGTAACCGAACAGTCTGTCCGATAATGTACACAGACTTCAGTACTTTACCTTTTGAGGCTGCAACAGACGCCAGGGAGTGCATGTACGGGGTCTCCCAGCGCTCCATGACTGGCTTGCCCATGATCTCCAGGTGCGTGTCGGCTTCATTGTAGCCGGCGCTAGCGTCGTGCCAGGCCGGCTTGCAGTCCTCTCCCTTGCAGAATATGGGCTGGGCAGCGGAGGTCATGTTGCTTTTTTGTTTTGGTGTTGCTGTTGTTTGGTTCTGGTGAACGGTTCGGGTCAGCAGGCACAGAAGAGGGAGAAACCGAGAAGGAGGTGGTTTATATCGAGGTGACAACTGCTGACACCGCAGTCGTGTGACGGCGGGTCAAGGCGTAACACACACACACACACACACACACACACACACACACACACACA